GACAAACATGTCGACCTCACCTACACAAGGCATGAACACATAAACATTGGGCAAAGAACATGGCTCGCTTGACCTTTGAGACTATAACAAATTATATGACTCGTATTATCTCACATACACATATACACATGACACATGACATGTAACACACGTAGATGATAGATGCCGTGCACTGCCATGAGTATACTGCGTATACTTGCACTGACATTTACATTATCTAGCGTCAAACAACCACAACCAATGAACAAGTCATACTTATCACGCGCACACACACAAAACAAACACAAGCACACAGAGAAGCAAACTTTGTGTGTTTGATCTTTTGAGGTTCCTTCGAGTTTGCCGGAGATGGTTGTTGAAAAGATCAAATGCTGGTGGTGAATTTGCACTGCTTTATACTCCATTGGATGGAAAGGTCTTCGAGACCCAACAGCGGGTCCGCGCACAGAAGGAGAAGCGCAAGCAAGTGCAGGACCCTCAGAAAGTCTTGAGCGAGGATGTTGCTGCAAAGCAGGCTAGGGAAGAGAGGAAAGCAAAGGCAGCTGCCAAGAATGGTGGTGCAAAAAAGCAGCTCCAAAAGCCAAGGCCAAGAGTGAGCTGGCTGATGACTTGCCAGAAGACACATCCAAAGCGACAGAGGAGGTGACTTTGAAAGGTGAAGGTGGTGTGAGCTTGTCACGGCCAAAGCTTTTTGCAGATTGTTTGGTTCTTTGCCTGCGGTCAGCCATCAGCGCAGCCCGCAAGAAGCATGGCTTGCCACATTCAGTGGACTCAGCCGATTTGATTCCAGACTCCGCCACTGACCCCATCAAGTACACAGACGCTGAGCTGAACATTGTCAGAGCACATCTTCGTTGTGGCATCATTTTTGCAATTCAGGGAAGCTACATGTTCCAGGGCAAGATGTACAAGAAGTGGTCTTCTTTGCGGCCTGCCCTGCAAGCTCACGTGATGTCTTCATACAAGGAGGCATGGCATGGTGTGAATCATTATCAATTGTTCTATTCTTTGTTGATTTGTTCATTGCATATTTCTGGTCCGAGTCTATGATCAAGAATCATCATGTTGACTTCAGCTGTTGTTACAGTTGATTCAGCGCTGGTGTTAGACGGTGTTAGATGTCGATGTTTATTGGTGATGGTTTTGGATTGTCTGAACTATTCACTGCTGCACTGCTCAATCAATGCAAGGCCTTGAACATCAGCAACACACTTGTGGTTTCAGCAGGGCAAGCGACTTCAGATGCTCAAACTGCCTGTGGTCTGAGCGATGCATTGGTTTGTGTCTCGTCACATGGCTCTTCAGGATCAACATCATCTTCTCCAAAGAAGCTGGCAGACTTTGGCCAGGCAAGCTGGGAGCAGCTGCTTCGTAGCTTTCTTGAATGGGTGGATGTGGA